TGGGGGGGGGGCAGGGCCTGAACTGGGGGGGGGGGGGGGAGACGACCATGCAAGTTGAAGGCACTGTTGGCATATCTAAGATGGCTACCGAGATAGCGTAGTGTGTCCAAGATGGTGGGGGCAGTCTCTTTGGCATATCTAAGATGGCTGCCCAGACTGCTTGGCTTAGGCAAGATTGCTGCCCTGACTACACTGGGTGACGATGCAAAATGGCAGCCCACTCTGGGGTTCCCAGCGGACCTAAGGTGGCCGCCCAATTGGTGGAGTGGGGAGTGTCCTTGGTTTATCCAAGATGGCTGCCCAGACTGGTTGGGGGGCATCCAAGATGACCACCTGGATGTGGTGTATCCAAATTGACTGCCCAGATGACACTGGGTGCTGATCCAAGATGTCTGTGCACTGGGCTGGGGACAAATGTCAGACGCGTATTCAATATGACTGGATGCTTAGGGGTATCCAAGAGGGCCGTGTAGATGCCTTGGCATATCCAAGATGCCTGCTTAGCCTATCCAAGATGGCGGCCCACTCTGGGATGCATGAGGGCTCCAAGATGGCTGCTTGATTGGCGCAGGGGCATGTCAGTGGCATATCCAAGATGGCTGCTGGGACTGCACTGGATGGTAGTCCAAGATGGCCATCCATGCTGCAGGGCTGGGGGTTCAAGATGGCTGCCCAATGGGTTGAGGAGGGTCAGTGGTGTATTCAAGATGGCTGTGTGGATGGTTTGGGATATCCAAGATGGCTACCTGTATTCCTTGGCCTATCCAAGGTGGCAGCTTGGCCTTGCCAAAATGGCCACCCAGATGCCTTGGTGTATCCAAGATGGCAGCCCATGCTAGAACACCAAGGGGAGAGGATGGCTGCCTGACTGGGGAGGGGGGTTGTCAGCTTATCCAGGATGGCTGCCCAGGTGCCTTGGCCTAGCCAAGATGGCAGCTGGGCCTGTACATGATGGCTGCCCAGATGTTTTGGCACATCCAACATAGTGGCCCACTGGGATACCAGAGCAATGGGAGGGGTCCAAGATGGCTGTCTGACTGGAGAGGGGGTCGATGGCATATCCAAGATGGCTGTCTAGATGCCTTGGGTTAGCCAAGATGGCAGCTGGGCCTGCCCAAGATGGCCACCCAGATGGCTTCACCGCTTCAAGACAGTGGACCATGCTAGGACAGCGGGGCAAAGGAAGGGGCCCAAGATGGCCACCTGAGTGGGGCAGGGAATGTTGGCCTATCCAAGGTGGCTGCCAGGCCAATCATGACACAGCTACTTAACATAATTAATCCTGATCAATAAAGACAATGAACCGCCCCTCCGTCTCCTCGTCCACCTTCCAGGGGGGCCCTGGACTCCTGCATCCCCTGGGGGGTCCCCTGGACACCTGAGGGGGGGCCCTGGACTCCTGCATCCCCTGGGGGGCCCCCTAGACACCTGAGGGGGGGCCCTGGACACCTGCATCCCCTGGGGGGTCCCCTGGACACCTGAGGGGGGGGCCCTGGACCCCTGCATCCCCTGGGGGGTCCCCTGGACACCTGAGGGGGGGGCCGG